TAAAACTGCTCGAACTCTCTCTAAAGTGTCCCCCCTCGCCGAAGTGAAGATGACAATGTCGTCGGCGTAGGCAAGATGATGGATATGTGGTGCATCACGGGGCTGTGTAAAACGAGCAACTATAGGATCTGCATACAGTCGAGCCAAAGAGCGAGAAAGGACCTCCGCTGAAAGGATGAACAAGGACGGAGAGAGTGGGTCCCCCTGCTGCAGGCCCCTCGTCGAATGAAAAAAAACCTCTCGAATCCCATTAATAATGACGGAGTACCATATATTCGAGATGGCCCGATAGACCAGATCGATCCAATTCTCTGAAAATCCAAATCTGCGCAGCACTGACATCAAAAAATACCAAGAGACCCGATCATAGGCCTTCATCATATCCAGCTTCACAATGACATCTTCATTATCCAGCTTCAGAATGACATCTTCATTATCTTGATTTTTAGGTTTCTTATATTGAACCTTAGATGATTGTCTAGGTGGTGGCTCAACATTATCTTTAGCTTTATTTTTATCAAAACCTATTCCTTCCTTAGAAAAATGCATAGTGTCAAGGAGTAGATTTAAGTCTTTATGAGGAGTATTAAATTTCTTGATCGTGCTCTCAAGTTTAGCAACTTGCTCTTTTAAAGCTTTACAAGACCCACATTCACTTGAAGAACTTTCTGGTTTGTCAGCGCTTCTTTTTCCAAAAAATTTGTTTTCTTGTTTAAGTATTTCATTTTCTTTTTCCAATTTTTCAAAATCATTTTCAAGTGTAGAAAGAAGTTTCTTCAAAGATTTATTTGTTTTAGAGACGCTAACAAATTCTTCATAAAGTTCATGAAGTGCTTCTTGCATTTCTTCAAAAGTATAAGAGTCGGAAGAAATGTTACATACCTCTTGGACGTCGTTGCTTTGATCTTCGTGCGCCATGAGGCAGAGATTTGCAGCTTCGTCCTCCTCTTGGTCGGTTGATTCGTCGCCGGAATCGCCACCCCAAGAGATGTAGGCCCTTTGCTTCTTGAAGCCAGGCTTATCCTTGCCGTGTTTGGCTTTTGGACACCTTGGCTTGATGTGGCCAATCTCGCCACAGCCGTAACACTTGGGAGGACCGTCGTGCTTCCTTCCCTTTCGCTCAAACTCCTTCTTCATGAACTTGTGGAACTTCTTGATGACGAGCCCGAATTCATTGTCGTCATCGCTTGAAGCCTCTTCCACCGGCTCCTTGGTGGCTTTGAGAGCTATCCCCTTTTTCTTTTGTTCATCCAAAGACGGGGTAAGAATAGTAGATTCATAGGTTTTAAGATTACCTCTTAGCCCGTCGATGGTGACGTTGGAGACTCCGATGGATTCGTAGATTGCATCGGCTTTTGACCTCCATTTGGGTGTGAGACTCCGCAGGATTTTCCTCACAAGATCCTTGTTGGTGTAGGTCTTTTTGAGAGCATGATGATCTTTGAGAACCGGTCGAACATGTCATCGATTTTCTCACCTTCTTTCATTCGGAAAATTTCGTACTCTTGGGTGAGAAAATCGATCTTGGCTTCACGCACTTGATCGGTACCTTCGTACGTCACTTTAAGCTTGTCCCACATCTCCTTGGCAGTTGTGCAACAGGAGATCTTTCGGTAGTCATCGGGGTTGACCGCGCAATATAGCATGTTGATGGCCTTTGCATAGTTTTCAATCTTCTTGATGTCCTCGGCATCAAATTCGTTTTCGGTCTTTGGGACCGTGGTTTCTCCCACTTTTTTCATAGGGATTTCTTCGCCATTTTTGATCACCAACCACAATTGGAAGTTGGTGGAACGAATATAGATTCTCATCCGTTCCTTCCAATAAGAGTAGTTGGTGCCATCAAAGAGTGGTGGCCTAGAGGTTGATTGACCTTCTCCAATTTCTGCATAGAGATTTCTAGAAGAAGAACCCATGATCGCTTTACTCTTAAACGGTTAAGTTTGGACGCGAGTTAGGCTTTGATACCAATTGTTAGAACAATAGACCAACGCTAGAGGGGGGGTGAATAGCGTTTGATCAAGAAATCGCAGGAATAAAAAATGAATAAATGAGAAGTAAAGAGGCACACCGATTTTACCCTGGTTCACCACAACTTGTGGCTAATCCAGCCTCCCGAGAGACTCTCTCGAGCTACACTACTATCTCGTTAAGCTTAACGGTGCTTAACAAACCCGTACACCTTGAGAATTCGAGTCACACGAACCTCAACGAACCTTCGAAGGAAACAGCTCTTCCTTCGAACAACAAGAGAAATACCTTCTCTTGTCAAGTGTCTAAGAACACTAAAAACACTCAAGAACAATACTCTCTTTTAGAGTGGATAATGAGTAAGCTAAGAACGCTCAAGAACAACACAAGCTTCACAAAAATGGCTCTCAAAAGCTATGAATAATTGAAGAATGATTTGCAATGAAAGAGTAGGAGTTGTGAAGTAATGTGATGTGTAAAACATACCCAAACACCCCATTTTATAGTAGAAAAATAGGCTCCAACGGACCAAACTATTTAAGGGTTGATTGGCACAATTTGTGGGATTTGATAAAATTTGGATCTGCTGAAAATCACCTAGACAGCGCTGTCCTAGGCCTGGACATCGCTGTTCTAGGCTTGCGGTTTGAAAAATGGGAAGCAACGGTCATGCCAACAGCGATGTCTAAAATCCCTACATCGCTGTTTTGGCTGTTGACTTCCAAACAAGGAAAGTTTTAGCCTTAAATTCCTTCCAACGGTCAGGTCTCTACATCAATGTTCTATACTAGAACATCGCTGTTTAGGTCTGCCTTTGAAGATGGAAGTTTGGCCTGACAGCGCTGTTGCTGGGTCAACATCGCTGTCCAAAAACTTTCTGCCAATGCACTATATTTTTGGCTTAGGTTGGACAGCGCTGTAGGGAAGCCTACATCGTTGTTCCAGAAGTTTCTGGAAATCCAACCTTGGCTCAACAGCGATGTCTGGTGTCCAACATCGCTGTTCGAAGACTTAACGCCAAACAATGTTTTTAGCTACCCAGGCCAGACAGCATTGTTGATTACCTCAACATCGCTGTTGGGCTGGTTTGGCCAGACCCATGGTTGGTTTAGTCACGCCGTTAGACGATGTCAAAAACGCAAGTTCTCCAAAATAAAAACCAAGTTTAGAAAACATTTTTATATTGCATTTTGCTAAGAAATCAAGTAAAACATCTTAAAAACCACGTCATTTAGTTGAAAACCACGGCTAGCCAAGTTCGCGCCGTTTCGCATGGTTTTCACTAAACGACCAAAAACGGAAGGTGGTTTTTGAGGCGTTTTTGTTGGAGAACTATTTAAATATGCCCAGAAGTAAAAATCAGTCATAAAAAGTTGAAAACCACTTGGTTTATTCGGACGCCAAAAACCAATGCCGAAAACCGAGAGCCGAACGCCGGTTTCTGAAAACCGAACGCCGGATGGCTTGGTTTTTGGTTTGGGCGAACTCCAAGCGTTTTTACCCAAGTTTAAACTTAAGAAAAATATTTTTGAACATATAAAAGAAATTTTTATGAATTGAGCCTAGAGAGCCAAGATTTGGAATTTTGTGCCGGTCTTGATCACATTAAGACCGACTCAATTTAATTCTAGTTCTTCGTTCTTGATTCTGGGTTCTTGGTTCTCAAGTCGTCATGCCATGTTCCTTCGCCTTAGTTTTGCTCACTTTAGCTTCGATATGTCGCGGCGGTTTGGCATTATCAAAACCTGTCATAAAAACCGAACACAGTTTAGTACGACGTAGGCGTAAACCCGTGTTCCAACAATATATATATATATATATATATATATATATATATATATATATATATATATATATATATATATATATATATATATAATGGTTCCCCCCTGTAGAGATGGTCACAGGGTTGATTGGTGAACCACACCACCCGAGTTCGATCCTCAGAAGGGGCAACTTTGGGGGAATTTTAAGGGAGTTAAGCGTGCTGGCCATGGAGTAGCAGAAATGATGGGTGACCCCCTGGGAAGTGTTTGCAGATTTATGGGGTTGGGCTTTAGATTGGGCTTCTTATAGTGGGCTATCTACCTCGGGTGTTTAACGGGCCCCGGGGTAGTCACGAGGTTAACGGGCCTCGGGCCCCCTGCTTGTAACCGACCATTCCAATAATATTAATAATAATAATAAAATATATATATATATATATATATATATATATATATATATATATATATATCTATATATATATATGATGGCTAGATTTTTGGAGAGAGAAAGCTCCGGCGAATTCAGCGGTCGTCGTCACCACATAAATCTTCGTCCGGATTATCAACGGCCAATCTATGGCTTCAGGCAACAATCATATCTGTACACAGATGCTCCTCCCCGGCGCGGTGAACCTTATCCAAAACCATACATTAAATCTGGCTTCATCAAAAGAGTCGGCTCCCATAGCGCACATCACAACAACCGACCATCGAAGTTTTGCAGGCGAGACTTTAGATGGCCATTCAAATCCCCCGGGGTAAATGACTTGAAGAATTCATATGTGCTTTCAGAACAGAGAATAAGTCTACCGAATCAGAGAGCAAACCCTTCGCCATGGCCTAGTAAGAACATTAGGTTCAAATTCAGAATTCTGAACCAGGTATTTGAGCTATTTTACTCTGTCTACAATAAGGTCTTCAGTATTTCTGCTAGGGGGAGAAGAAACATCCATATATGGTTTGATTCTGATTCTATCAATTGGGTCTTGGAATCTCTACCTAGACTGCTTGCCGGTTCAACTTGGGCCTGTGTTAAACTGGATATTAAGAGAACACTTGAAATTGCTATTGACTCTTATCGTAGGGGGGAATATATTCGGATTTTAGAAGCTAGGAAAGAAGGTAACATGTTCATTCATATCCCCTTTGGAACACACAATGATGGGCCTAATCTGTTCCTTAAGGCTATTTTGTCCTTTGTAAAGAGAGCACGGTGCTTAAACAAGGCTGAGGGGTTTGGGGGAGTTTGGGGAAGTAGGAGAATCAGGGGCTATAGCATTTGAGGTTGCTGTCTTGGGAGAGACTGTGATTGGTCCAGTACTCTCTAAGGTGGAGAATCCTACACTTGCTTTACAATACACTCTGGTCCTAGAGGAACATTTGAAGGTTCTTAACGAGGTAGGGGACCCCCTTTCTGATTCCCAATCCAATAAGGTCCTATCTCAAGAGGTGGTAGAATCAGCCCAAGTGTATGAACAGAAGTCTCTAAGTATTGAAAACCATGACATAAGAGTACAACCTTTGGAAGGGCAGGATATACAACATGGAAACACTACTGATCTATCTTTTTGCTCGGTAGAATTTGTTGAAAAGGATTTTCAAAAGCTAAAGGAGAACACTGCTCAGGCAGAGCCTTCTTCATCATACAATTTTCAATACCCTCAGCTTCCAAGAGTGTGCCTATCCCCATCTGCTTCCGAGTTCATCCCACTTAAGCCCGACTCGTATGCAGCTCTCTTTGATCAAGTAAAAGACCTGGAAGAAGGCAGCCCTTTCAAGGATGTTGATTTTGACAAAATTGATGAAGGGAACATGGTACTTAGCAACAATGCACTAGAAGACATCTGGGAAGAAAGAGAGGGGCCTATTCTTTATACGCACTCAGAAGGAGAAGACAAGGCCTTCAATGACAACATACTCAAACCTCTTCAAATAGATTACTCTAGGATGTTCAAAACACCTTTCGATTTGGGGAGAGAATTCAAGGGTAGGCACATCTACTGTCCTTCTCAAATAGTAACCCGAAGTAAGGCAAAGATTTTGGAAGAAGGTAGAAAGAAAACACCAATGGTATGGGAGGAAGGGTCAGATGGCTCAGAGTTTAATTTTGCAGAAGACATTAGAAATTTTTTCAAGGAATGCTGTCCAAACAAACCTGAAAAAGCAACCAAGAAGCAGTCCACAAATAAGCCTTTAACCAAAAGCCAAAAGAAAAAGTCAAAAAAGAAACTTAAGAAGAAAATGGCAGGGCAAGAAAAGGATGAAAATGATTGATCTTGCAGGATCTTTCAGTGATATAAGTTTAGTCCTTTTTGGTGTGATCATTGGCATATGGTTTTGTTTAGTTTTATGGTTGCCTTATATGTTGGTGGAGTGCAATTGGGTTTCGTTTCACAAGTATTAGATGCTTTTGAATGGTTAACTTGGAAGTTTTCTCTCGTTTGGGGTCTGCCATTTCCTGGCATGGGCTTGCTAAGGGCAGACAAAGGGTTGGATTTATGGTTGAAGCAGAATGCAAGAGAGTGGTCAAATTGGCAGGACTAAGGAAGGGTGACTCCAAATCAAATTGTTTGGGATTCAGAAGTCGAACAAATCATTTTATCTACCAGTAGTGGACAAATTGGAATATTACCGAATCACATCCCTATTGCCACTGCTCTAGATATAGGGATTTTGAAACTAAACTCTAATGGCCAATGGTTTTCAATTGCTCTGATGGGCGGAGTTGCTCGAATAGCTAATAATGCAATCACTATCTTGGTAAAAGATGCCAAAGTGAGGTAGTAAAATTACGTGAGAAGAAGCTTAGGAAACTCTGAAAGTGGCAGAGACAAACTTGGAAAAAAGTTTGGACAACAAATTGAGGCAAATTGGATTGCATTAGGGCATATTATGACATGGTTTATCAAATATGATGGTTTTTCTTGTTATCTTGTTACCCTCCTATTGGTGTTGGGGTGGGCAGTGTCACTTAGCCATGCAATATGCTTGAATAATTAAGACTCAAACATAGAAGTTTGGTTTCCGAGGCTGAAACCTGAAGGTTCCGTTTGCTAGACCATTAGCTACTTGGATGACAACCACAGTGGGCAAGGCCCTACTCCTTGTTGAAATTTGCTGTGTAGTTTGGGTCAAGAAGTAGAAGACATTTTGGTGTTGTCCTTTGAGATGTGTCCCTCTTTTTTTGTTTAGACCCTT